AAAACCTGCAAGACGGGCGGATTAAGGGCCTCCTTTTCCGAGGGTCAAAGCCTGAGCCTCCAGGCCCCCGTTCCTCTCTCTCCCCTTTTGACCCCTACATGGGCACACAGCCTGTGCCTTTCCTCCCAGCGCATCCGGCGGGGCCAGGAGCCTCCAAAGGCCACCACGGGGGATGCTGTCACCGGTGGGGTCCGTGGGGGGGGGCTGCCTCCCCCCGCCCAGTTCTGCCGGGGTTGATGGGTGGGAAGAAGGGACGCGGTGGTTCACGAAAGGCGTGGCTCTTGGATACAAGTCGGCAGCCCCTGCCTTGGCCCCACATCCCCCCCCCCCGGATTGTGTTGGCCTTGGGTGGCTGGTGGCTGGGCTTTTCAGAGTTGGTGCCCCCTTGGTGGTAGCTGGGGAGGGGAAGGAAGGCGCCCCCCCTCCAGATCCCAGCCGCTTTTCTGCTCCTGAGCTAAGCCCTTAGCCTGCCTTGCCCCATGCTTGGCTTGGGGGGGGGGAGAGCTACAGAGTGTTTCCTGGGTTTCTAAAAGCTTGTTCAGGAGAAAGGGTGCTCTGGAGAGGATCCCCAGAGGAGGGCTCAACGGCTGTGAGCATTGCAGGGGTGTGGGGCATGCTCCCCCCCTCTGTCCATGACCCATCTCTCCCCTGGCTACCCTCGCTGTTTCTCTTGGGGGAGACCTGGCACCAGCACCTCCTTCGGGGCAGGTTTCTGCGGTTCGAGGGGGATGACCTGGGAGGTGGGCTGTTGAGTGGGATGGATGGATGGCTCGCTTGCCGGCAGATTCAGGGAGAGCAAAAGCCCCCTCTGGTTGCTGCCCAGCCCCATGATGTGTGTTCTTCATTGTGGTGTGCCCCCCCCCCCCCCCCCCCCCCCCCCCCCCCCCCCCCCCCCCCCCCCCCCCCCCCCCCCCCCCCCCCCCCCCAGAGCTGCAAATCCCCATCGTTTTCGGTGATGGAGAAGGGTGGCGAGAGGAGGCGCAGCCGAGGTCCCCCTCCTCCGTTGGGCTTGAGGCATCCCCATGAGCCCATGGTTGGGGGCTTCTGGCTCCAGGAGGGCCGGGTGGAGTACCTCTCTCTGTCTTCTCCTGCCCGGAATATGAAGACTCACTCTCTCTCTCTCTCTCTCTCTGCTGCCCCAAGCGGTAGGGGCAGAGGGAGCCAGGGCTTGCCCTGCCGGGTGGGGGCTCTGGCTCTCAGCCCCCTCCTGCCTTTGCCCGCTCACTTGCTGTCCAGCCTTCCTCCGGGTGACGGACGTTGCTCCGGCCGACTGATTCATGCGCTGGCTCAGGAAGGCGAAGGCGTCTCGGCCCCGCCAGGCTCAGGCGGACTCCGTCCCGCCCTTCCCGAGGGAGGGAATTTTGTCAGTGTTTAAGAACAGCCTGTGACATCTCTTGGATTTGGGGATGAATTTATGTGCCCTAAATATGTAATTTATGCCTCGGGGATCTGTGGTTGGCAAGCCAAGGATATCCATCCGGCGAGAAGTCTCAGCGCCTTGCAGCATAACTCAGAGTTCTTCGGAAACACTGTATATTTATTGCTTTTTCTGACGAGAGGCCTGATGCCAGGCTATTAATTCTTCTGGCACCCGCAAAGTAATGGAAGGGCTTCCGCCCCAGGCTCCCTTGGGCTACTCATCCCTCTGAGGCGGCGCTGTGCGCGCGATGCATCCACCCAAGGAACAGGGGCGCCCTGCAGCCACCAGAGGCAGCTCTCCAGGAGGCGCATGCTGGCGGGGCTCTTCCCGTGGCACTTGCTAGCCTGGCAGGCCTCTGGCTGCCTGGAGGGGCAACCCAGATGGCAGATGGCTGGAGGCAGGAGGCAGCAGCTTCTGAGCGCAGGCGAGCGGCCTGATTCTGCCAGAGAAGCTGGAGAAGCAGCCGGGAGATCCCTCTGTGCCCGGCCGAGCCAGGCCCCGTTCCGGGCGTAGGGGGCTGTTTCCTGGCCAGTCCAGAAGGGAAGGTGCAGGGCCCCCACCTTGGAGAGAGAGAGAGCCTGCCTGGATTTCCTGCCCGCCACTTGCACGAGGTGGCCCTGAAATCTAAGACTGTCTGACACATATTCTCTCTCTCTCTCTCTGTATGTGGGCAAAGCATCTCAAGAATGACACCCACCCCGTTCCTGTTTTCTGGCTGCAGCAGCCTTTCAGGCCAAGTCTGAAGTTGGGCTGTGAAACACCCACTGGGTGAAGACGCCCATCGCCAAAGAGGTGGGCCGACAGGCTGAGTGACGGCTCAGGAGAGAGAGAGAGAGAGAGATGGATCACTTTGAGGGCACGTGAGCCACGTAGTGGTCCCAAAACTTGCCATGGTTCCCTTCTGGGTTTGTGGGCCCCGGAGTGACAGAGAGCCAACCTGGCACCTAAGGGGAGGCTGCTGCCCCTGGTGCGCAAGCATCCTCTGCTCTGCCCTGGCTGGTCTGAGGCTCTTTTTCAAATAGGGGCAGGTGTGTCCCCCTCTGTCTGATCAGCTGACCCCAAGGCATCCGAGGGAAAGGTAGGTTGGGGGCCCTTTGACTGCCGAGTCAGGGAGTCCCACCGGGAAAGAGACCCAGCGCGGAGGAGCAAAGGAGCTGGCAGCAACGATTGCCGCAGAACGGTTAATATTCTCTAGAATTAACAGGCAAAATGCTTTGTTTCAAGCTTTGACATGAAAAGTTTATTGAGGTTCATTGGCCTGGAAGTCCTTCCCCCTACCTGCGTAATGCACAAGGTGGTATATGTGCACACCTGCACCCGTGCAGTTAAAGCATTTGAATAAAAACTCATTTCCTGGGTTGATCGTAGATTAGGGAAGCACACAGAGACATGCAGAGTTATTGATGTGTGCCACCAAGTGCGCGCACCCCCCCCCGATTTATGAATGAGCGACTTCCAACATGGCCTGTCCACAACTACCCTGCTGAGCTCCTGCAGACTCAAGCCTGTGGCTGTCTTTAGGGAGTCCGTCCATCCCTCCTATTTGGTCTTTCCTCTTTTCCTGCAGCTTTCCACCTTTCAGCATGATTGTCTTTTCCAGAGAATCCGTTGCCTTCTTGTGATGGGCGCAAAGTCAGACAGCCTCCATTTCAATGCTTTTGCCTCCAGAGACAGTTCAGGCTGGATTTGATCTAGGATCCTCTTTATTTCCCTTCCTGGCAGCCCAGGGGATCCATAAAGCTCTGCTCTGGCACCCCGTTTCAAACGAACCAGTCTTCTCCCTGCCGGTTTTCTCTTCACTGTCCAGCTTTCACACCCGTACCTGGTGATTAGAAGTACAAGAGTGTGGAGGACCTTGGTCTCGGTCTCCAGGGACACATCCTGAGACTCAGCCTTTTTCTAAATCCTCCGTGGATGCCCTTCTCGGTCTCAGCCGTCTTCTGATGTCTTGGCTGTGGTCTCTCCCTTTGGTTTCATGGTTAACTTTCAAGTTGTGTGGTTCTCCTGTAGTCATGATTTTTGTCGTCTTGGTGTTTTACGGCAGTCCGACTTCTGTGCTTTCTTTCATTTTCATCAGACGTTGTTCCATGCCATTGCTCCTTTCTTCACGTCTTAAACTATTGATGTTTCTACTATCAATATTTGTTCCTCCTTCATCTGCATTTAATCTAGCTTCCCATAGGATGTGTTCTGTATACATACTGAATCGATGAGATAAAATACACCCTTGTCTGACACCCTTGCCAGCGAGAATCCATTTTGTTTCCCCAAATTCTGTCCTTGTAGCGGCCTCTTGTCTGGAGTACAGGTTATGTATGCATCAGGACAGTCAAACATTGAGGTACACTCTTTCTTTCTTTCTTTCTTTCTTTCTTTCTTTCTTTCTTTCTTGCTTTCTTGCTTTCTTGCTTTCTTGCTTTCTTGCTTTCTTGCTTTCTTGCTTTCTTGCTTTCTTGCTTTCTTTCTTTCATCCATAGCTGCTCATAATCCTCCACAGTCACAGGTTTTGCTGTGGTCTACAGAGCACACAGTGATTTTCTTTTGTTCTGCTCCAGTAGCCAGTGGGTATTTGAAAAAATATTGAGTGAAAAAGATGCCGTGTTTTCAGAGCTGGGAATGGCTGGAGGAAAAAGAGGTGCCGGGCAGCTGCGAGAGGGCATGCCTTGGGGTTTGGGTGTCCAATCTAGGATGGAAGGCAGGCAGCCGTGGTGGAGACGGGGGGGGGGGCGCGTGAGGGAATCCAGCAAAAGGGATGGAGAAGGAGCAGAGAATCAGAAAGGGGGTCTTGAAAGCGTGTCTGGCGCTGGGGATTTCTCCTGTAATATCCCTGGGAGGGCTTGCCGAGAGGAAACATTCCTGATATTTCAGCGGCCCCTCACTCTCTTTCTGTTCCCTTTTCTGTCTGTGTCCCTCTGTCCTTCTGCCTGAAGCTCTGCAGAGTGCTTGAAGTGCTATGGGGCGGTATATAAGCAGCACGCTTTTTGCTTTATGGCGGTCCTGTTGGGTCTTTGATATGGATGTTGAATGGGTTAAGGAGAGGGGCCTCCAGAGGAGAGAGGGACCACCCTCGTGGCTCTTTCTATCTCAGAGAGGGTATGCATGTTGATGCCACGTTACCTTAACGAATGAGCAGAACCGGTTCCTAGCCAGAGAATTCCTGCCCGGGGCCTCCCCTGTGTGTTTCATAAGTGGCTGTGGCCGAGCATGTGGGGTTGTGGTGGGAGTGGGAAGCGAGGGACCGGGCTGTAGGGTGGCCCAGGCCAGGCGGGGGCACCTGGGTGAGAGGCCGACGGGCACTTTCCTGCCCCGTATCATGAGAGAGGTGTTGCCTCCTGGCCTTCCGCAGCAAGGCGGAAGAGAGTCCGAACCTGGAGGGGCCACAGAATCGCGCTTCCCTTGTGTGTCCTAAACGACCTGCTTTCCACCAACCCCCGCCGTTTGTGCTGCCGTCTCTGCCACCCCGGGAACGAAGGGGGCTCCCTCCTTCTACTGGGGCTTCAGCCTCGTTCTGACCCGGGGGGCGGGGGGGAGAGAGATGAGGCCGCAGCCCTTCTGACCTTCTCTTGCTTTTCCTCCCCAGGACAAGAACCGGAAGCTGCGCCCCCTCTACGACATCCCCTACATGTTTGAGGCCCGGGAG